GTGCTGGGATTATAGGCGTGAGCTACCATGCCCGGCTGGGTAGTCCGATTTTCTACTTAGAATCAACCTGAGTCTCTCTTGCTGCCTTAGTATTGGACCACCATCCAGCCCAGGGTCATTGGAAATGCTCTCCCAATCACCTATGCGTCTTTAAGTCTTTTGAGAATCTCCAGAGCAGAATTTTGTCAGGCTGACAAGAGTGGTTAATTTTGCTTCTGTCTTAGTGTAAAACAAATGAGTCATCCTTTGTTTGCTCCTTCCCTCATACAAGAGATGTCTTTGCTTGGTACCCAGATGAGAGTTTCTTCAGTTCTCTCGTACTTGGGTGAAAAACAAGGAGGAGGTCTGGAGCCTCAAATAGATAAACTAATTGCTTCCATTTCATACAGTCATTAGAAAAATAGATGACACAGTCATCGTCCCTACCATGCAAGAACTTTTACTCTAGAATAGCAACTTGATAACTGGTTTAGTTATGTATCATATGGTGGGTACAATAAATGTGTGCAAAAGTATGGGTTTTATTTGGGCCTTTATATTGTTGTGATTTCTGATAACCTACACCTGAATGTATATTAATAAACAGAAGAGTTTTTTTCGTTGTTGTTGTTGTTTTTTGAGACGAAGTCTCACTCTGTCGCCCAGGCTTGGAGTGCAATGACATGGTCTTGGCTCACTGCAGCCTCCAGCTCCCGGGTTTAAGGGATTCTCCTACCTGGGGCTACTGAGTAGCTAGGAATACAGATGCATGCCACATACATGGCTAATTTTTGCATTTTTACTAAATATGGGATTTCACTATGTTGGCCAGGCTGGTTTCAAACTCCTGACCTCGTGATTTGCCCACCTTGGTCTCCCAAAGTGCTGGGATTACAAGCGTTAGCCACCTCACCTGGCCTATTTGTATTTTTTATGCCTTGCTAAAAATACTTCTACAAAAATTATTCTATAAAACCTTTTAATAGAATTATTTATAGAATAATTTAAAAATTATTCTATAAAACCTAAAACAATTTAAAAAATTGTTTATTAGTATGTGTTGTAAAATTGAGAGGGCAGTGGGGCTAAAAAAGATTAAAATTACACAAGCTCTGAAATTGAATTTTTTTTTTTTTTTGGTAAGCTTAAAAAAAGAAATAGAAGACCGGGCATAGTGGCTCAAGCCTGTAATCTCAGCCCTTTGGGAGGTGGAGGCAGGTGGATCACCTGAGGTCAGGAGTTCAAGACCAGCCTGACCAACATGAAACCCCCCTGTCTATTATATATAAAAAAAAGAAACAGAACTAAAAGTACTCCCCAGTGCATAAAGAATAGAATTTTACATCATCCTGCCCCAGTCCTGTTCAGATTCATCCGTTTTGAAGGCCTTACTTAGGTCTGGCTCTATGCTGGAGTTTGGCCTCACAGAACTAACTAGCAGATATCAGAGTTTTGGGTGATGAATCCTGTTGCCTTTTTAGAGTTGGTGCTCACAATTTTCTAAAACCCAAAAACAGATAAATGGAAAATGTAAAATATGTAGAATAGTGTCTTAATTTTTTATTACAACCAGTATTTGCAGAGATGTTCCGTTTAGCAACTTGTTTTTCATTCCTGCAGATATAGTAGTTGATTCACAAGTCACAAAGCAGTAAATATAATACAATATAAATTTATCTAAGTTACATTAAACTCTATCTGTATCCTCATCTGTTTATATTTAGAGTTTATTCTATGCATTTAAAAAAATGAAGTGACAAACAGAAGAAAAAGTAAAAATACTGGGTTTTTATTCTAAATTCTTGGAATTATTTAGCACTTAGTATCAACTCATAGGGTGTTATTAGAATTAAATCAAACAATGGGTTATCAGAGTGCTCTGTAGCATCCTGTTGCGCACATAGTACCTGCTTAATAAACATTGCATTAGTACATGTGCACATGTTGTTTTCCAAATGGCGAGTTAACTCAGCAATTGCTATTTTCTGTTTTCTCTTTAAACTTTAAAGAGCCAGCAAATAATATAATACTTTACGATAGAGAGTGGTTGTATTCATTTGTATCAGAAGTATTTGTGTTGTGACAAAAGTGCCGAGTGTAAGGGACTTTGTTCTGTGTCTCATTATTCTAACTAATGCTAATAACGAGCCCAGAAAAAGTGACATCAGCACTGACAGGGAAGTGTTTAGAACACCTGTTCATGGACCCTTTCCAAACCTACAGAATCACATTACATAGAGTGGGGCTAAGTTTACCAAGTGATTTATATATAAGCTCATTCAAGCTTGAGTGTCAGTGCTTAGGTAAGTGGTTGCAAGCCCAGGCTTCTAATTAGAATCACATGGTCCGTTTGCGGAACTCCCTTGTGCCCTTTTCACAGTTTCTGTTTAATGTTTTTGGTGAAAGCATCTATTTGTTTTAATTAAGTGCCTCAGGTGACTAAGGTGCCAGAATCAAAGATGAGGAGTTCAAGATACATCCATGAGGGTTCAGTTCTGCCTTTGCACTAAAGGGTGGTCCAGGAGCCTGTTCTGTTTGGGTTTGGTGAGGACAGGACAGTGTGGCCAATATTTCTATTACTGTAGCAGAAATTGCCGATGTCTGTAGCAGGGGAGGGTACCTGAGACAAAAAAAGAGAAGCTTATATTTTTATCTCTGTGGAGCAGCTCATTGTCCCTGCATCTTTTCTGTTATAAAGGACACAAATAGGTAGAGTTTTTCTGTCTTAGGCCTTTCTGCCTTTGGGTGTGGTGGTAGCAGGTAAACACATGGTGCTCAAATTTTTAAAGGCATATTTTCAGATGCAGGTGTAATTAGCCCTGAAAATCTCATCTGAGAAAGAATTCTGGAGGAGGAGAAAGAAAAGAAATGGCATTTCTTCATCTAAACATATCTCAGATCAAGAGCTGTGTCCAGTCTGCCTTGTGGAATGCCATGCATTTAGTACTGGCGAATCTTTACTTCTATACCTGTGTTTTTTTCTCCCTAATGAGTTTGTCTTAACTACTTTTAAAAATGCTTATGATAGTGAAGAATCTCCAAAAAATACTTTTCTATATACCAGAGCCTTCTCTACATCATGGCTTCTTATATGCCATGCAGAATTCTCACCATGAATTTGTGATCTGCAGTATTAAAAATTTTCTCTTTGTGGCTGTTGAACAGGGAAAAAGGTGTGGATACTCTATTTCTATGGGGAAAACCTGGGTTTCTTAGTAAAGATGGAGAAGATGTAATGTTGAGGTTCAATCTGTTTTCTTTATTATCTCTATGTATTACACGATTAAGAAAATGCTCATTTAAAGAGGATGGCATTTATTACACAGAAAGTTCTGAAAAAATTATCAGGAAATACCTGCTTATTAGGATGCTAAAAAAAGACTACATAAAATCACTGTTAAAAAGTGTAGAACGGCTGGGCATGGTGGCTCATGCCTGTAATCCCAGCACTTTGGGAGGCCAAGGTGGGGGGATCACCTGAGGTCCTGAGTTCGAGACCAGCCTGGCAAACATGGCGAAATCCTATCTCTACTAAAAATACAAAAATTATTTGGGCATGGTGGTGGGCACCTATAATCCCAGCTACTCAAGAGGACTAGCAAGAGAATCACTTGAACCCAGGAGTTGGTTCAAGTGATTGGTGAACCCAGTGAGCCGGGATCACCCTATTGTACTTCAGTCTAGGCTACAAGAGTAAAATCCTGTTTAAAAAAAAATAAATAAAAAAGAAAAGGAAAAAGAAAAAGAAGTGTAGCACACGGATATCTGTGTCTTGAACTTTCCACAAAACTGATGTTTTCCTATGATTAAATTTAGACTAATTTACTTTAGTGGGAGCAATGTATCAGTAGTGATGCTGTGTCCTTCTAGGAGCATTAGTACACTATCAAAACTTGTCCTAGTGCAGTTGATGTTAATAACTCACTTGCTTAATAAGCTCTCTTGCATATTTTTTCACTATATGGTTATTTTTCTCCTCATTATTAAGTATCTTTATGCAGATGATATGCATAAACCATCACATTTAATCTGGCAGCTGCCCCCCCCTCTTTTTTTTTAAGGTTTTCTTTGTGTTTATTTTTCTTTGGTAAATGAGAGCTCTCATCTTTCTTTACAAGCCAGAAAAACTGAGAAAAACACAGGCTCTTCCATTTACTGGATGTTTGACAAAATAGTCTTTTGGAGCCAAAACATTGGCATTACTGGTGAGCTTGTTAGAAGAAATCAGTAACTCGGACTTTATTTCATATCACCTGAAAAAATACTCTGCATTTACAAGATGTCCAGTTTATTGTACACATTAAAATTTGAGTGGTACAGGCCGGGCGCGGTGGCTCAAGCCTGTAATCCCAGCACTTTGGGAGGCCGAGGCGGGTGGATCACGAGGTCAAGAGATCGAGACCATCCTGGTCAACATGGTGAAACCCCGTCTCTACTAAAACTACAAAAAATTAGCTGGGCATGGTGGTGTGTGCCTGAGCCTCCTGAGTAGCTGGAGGCTGAGGCAGGAGAATTGCCTGAACCCAGGAGGCGGAGGTTGCGGTGAGCCGAGATCGCGCCATTGCACTCCAGCCTGGGTAACATGAGTGAAACTCCGTCTCAAAAAAAAAAAAAAAAAAAAAAAAAAAATTTGAGTGGTACCTTCTAACTCAACATGTCTATTTTGTCTGAAAAATATAAACAAGTATGTCTTTTTTATCTGAAAAAATATACACAACTCATTCTGTATTATGTAAACGTAGCACTAAAAATGTACATGTTAGTGTTTATGCCTTCAATTTTACACTTTATCATTTAGACAAGTATCATATCTGCACTGATGTTGTGGATATTTTGCCACTCTCTTTTCTCAGAGTTAAAGAATATGTTACAAAACGTTTCTGTGTTATTTCATTGGATAATTTCAGCCACTCTTATAAGTCAGAACCAATTCTATTCATTTTCTCATTTTACCTTGAATAAAATAAAAAATTCTGCGAAGAGCCACTTTGTAAATATATGTGTTTATGTTTGTTTTCCAGGGACTGTTGACATTTAGGGATGTGGCCATAGAATTCTCTCTGGAGGAGTGGCAATGCCTGGACACTGCACAGCAGAATTTATATAGGAATGTGATGTTAGAGAACTACAGAAACCTGGCCTTCCTGGGTGAGGATAACTTTAATACAAAATTTCTAATATAAACTAAAGGTTTCATTTTTTTTTGGTACAATGTTTTCTGCTAATTTACGCTTTCAGGTTTCTGTTTTCAAGCAAATCCTAGGGATTTGTTTGTTTAGAAAATAATTTCTTCAAAATGTTTTATCTTGACCTGAACTTTCACATTTCTGAGCTGATCTGTGTCCTTCACTTTAGATTAGTGGTAATTTCAGAAGTTTAGTGGCATAAAATATTGTAATTCATACCGTAAAATCAAATTGCCATCACCAGTTTTTCATTCAGTAGTACCAGGCAGTAAAATTAAGATCCTACAAAATTAAAATATGTTCTAAATATTTAAACATTCTAAGTACCTTGGGATAAATTTATTAGAATATTCTGTAGTATCCTGTTTACTGAGCACATTACTAAGTTGGTAATTGGAGAACATAAGCAAGATTCATGTTAGTTATTTGTAATAAAACAGGTATTGCTGTCTCTAAGCCAGACCTGATCACCTGTCTGGAGAAAGAAAAAGGGCCCTGGAATATGAAGCGACATGAGATGGTGGATGAACCCCCAGGTAGGTGAGAGTGAACACAACAGATGACATGGGTGAGAGGTCCAAAGTCAAGAAGAAACCCAATCTTTAAAGTGATTTGGGAAGCTGTGTTCCAGAGTAAATAGTTTGTGGGAAGCCTGAAATTCTTTTAAAGTTATACTCTACATAGGGCATCTTCTGCTTATTCTTAGAATTCTACTTTCCCTTCAGTGACCTTCCTTCAAGTTTACAGTGACAGCCAAAGCACTGTTTATGGCATACAAAAGAGTGCACAATCTGACTTCCTTTTTCTTGTTTTTGTGGACTGATGGCTGTATAATTTTGAGATATTCTATGTTAGACTGTCTTTTAAGTTCTGTTTTTGCATCATGTCTAAAACGCGTGAGAGTAGTGGTTTCTGTTCTATTGGTTTTTTGTTGTTGATTTTTCTGCACATTTTATCCTGTTTTCATTATTGTAGTCTTGAAATATAGTTTGAAATTATAAAGTGTGATGTCCTTCTGCTTTGTTCTTTTTCCTCAAGATTGCTTTGGCTATTCAAAATTTACTGTAGTTTCAAGTACATTTTAAGATTGTATTTTTCATTACTGTGAAAAAAAATCACTGAGGCTGGGTGCGGTGGCTCACGCCTATAAATCTCAGCACTTTGGGAAGTCGAGATGGGTGGATCATGAGGTCAAGAGATTGAGACCATCCTGGTCAACATGGTGAAACCCCGTCTCTATTAAAAATACAAAAATTAGCTGGGTATGGTGGCGTGCGCCTGTAGTCCCAGCTACTCAGGAGGCTGAGGCAGGAGAATTGCTTGAACCCAGGAGGCAGAGGTTGCAGTGAGCTGACATCGTGCCATTGCACTCCAGCCTGGGTAACAAGAGTGAAACTCTGTCTCAAAAAAAATCAGTGAAATTTTGATAGGTAGTTTAATGAATCTATAGACTACTTTGATAATATGGCAGTTTTATAATACTTATTCTTTCAATAGAAATAAAATATTTCAAAATTTATTTTTGTTCCCTCTAATTTTTTTTATTGATATATCTTTCACTTAACAGATTTATGAGCTCCTTGGTTAAATTTGTTCTCTAAAATTGATTATTTTGTTGCTACTGTAAATAAGATTGTTTCCTCTTTCTATTTCATGAGATAATGTAAGTGTATGGAAACACAACTTGTATGTTAATTTTATATTTTGCTAATTAACTGAGTGTATTCATTAGTTTAAACAGGTTTGAATCTACTGTTTATGTATATATTTATATATATGTATATATATATATGATTACATGATCTACAAACAACGTTTTACTTATTGATCTTTTTTTTTTTTTTTTTTTTTTTGAGACGGAGTTTCGCTCTTGTTACCCAGGTTGGAGTGCAATGGCGCGATCTCGGCTCACCGCAACCTCCACCTCCTGGGTTCAGGCAATTCTCCTGCCTCAGCCTCCTGAGTAGCTGGGACTACAGGCACGTGCCACCATGCCCAGCTAATTTTTTTTGTATTTTTAGTAGAGGCGAGGTTTCACCTTGTTGACCAGGATGGTCTCGATCTCTTGACCTCGTGATCCACCCGCCTCGGCCTCCCACAGTGCTGGGATTACAGGCTTGAGCCACCACGCCCGGCTACTTATTGATCTTTAATTTCAATGACTTTACATTTTCTTTCACATAATTTCAATGCTATGTTAAAATAGAAGCATTGAAAATAAGAAGCAGTAGTTTTGCATTGGTGTCTATACATTTGAAGGAGCAAACACTTCAAGTTTTTATAATCTCTTTTCAGAAAGTAAAAATCTATTTTTGTTGGGCCGCCAGAGTGATAGAATGCTCTCTGGGTTTGCAGTGAAGAGGTTTTGTAGCTTGATCTTAAGGCTGCTAGGTTTGCACAAGGGTCCATCTTTAGTTGTCTTGTTAGAAGGGGCTTGGATAGTTGTAATGTTTTTAATTTTTTGACAGAGTGAATATCTTCAGGACTTTGCTATGCAGGGCAGAGTCAAAGACAGTTTTCTGCAGTCAGGTCTGCATATAATGGGCATCGTATCAGGATGTGGATGAGCATGGGTTTCACTGAGTACAAATGAGGATTTTCCCAGGTCACTTTGGGTTTCTACATAGGCAGAAGTGGCCATGAACTGTGGCTCAGGGAGCTGGAACTGAGTTATGGAACTGCTTCAGAGACCACAGTAAAGGCCAAGGTCTGCAGGCCTGCTGCATGGGTATAAATGGGCGTCTTCCTCCAGGCCTCTGGAAGGACAGAACTTACCCTAGACTGTGGCTGGGAAGAGTTTGGGATGATGAAGGAGTAAGTTCAGAATTCTCAGTGGAACCAAGTTAGGTGGAACATTTTCTTGTCTGTAGCCAAAAACAGTAGTCCTGTAGTTTTGCCACCTGAATGAGGGCCTACCTTAGTCTAAAGAGGATTACCTTCAATCTTGGGCTTTAGCAGAGTTTCACAACTCCGTTCCCGGATCTCAGAGCTTGCTTAAAGGCACTTATTTTTGTGATGGGGTCTTGCTACATAACCCAGGCAGGTTTTAATATTTTGACCAGAAGCAATTCTCCAACTTTAATGTACCATGTAGCTGTCATTGCAGGTGTGAACCATGATGCCTGCTTCTCTCATAAAGGCGTTTTTGTCAGGAATGGCCTACGAATTTTCTTGCTGTCAGGGGATAAGCAAATAGGGCACCTTTGTTTTTTTTAATCTTATTAATGTCACTCTCCATATAAATTTTACTTTTTATTTTCTACTTCAAATTTGTCTGTAATTTTAGATTCAGACATTTAGGGCATTATACTAGAATTTACATATTCTGCCTGAATTAAATGAGATAATTTGTATGCAGGCAGGCAAAAAGGAATTACAGAATTTTCAACCACTTTTGTCAGCCTAGATCTAAATAATAACATAGTTTACTCCTCAAATATTTGTTTTATATGTGAGTCTCTAACCATATTCTGTTAAATATATGCATAATTTAGCAATGTAGGCCATTCTTTAATTCTAAACTTGGATTACAGTAGTTTTATTTTGTGTAAAAATAGTGTATATTCAAAACATAAAAATTGACAAGTTTCGGCTGGGTGCGGTGGCTCACGCCTATAGTCCCAGCACTTTGGGAGGCCGAGGTGGGTGGATCATGAGGTCAAGAGATCGAGACCATCCTGGTCAACATGGTGAAACCCCGTCTCCACTAAAAATACAAAAAAATTAGCTGGGCATGGTGGCACACACCTGTAGTCCCAGGTACTCGGGAGGCTGAGGCAGGATAATTGCTTGAACCCAGGAGGCGGAGGTTGCTGTGAGCCGGGATCACGCCATTGCACTCCACCCTGAGTAACAAGAGCGAAACTCCGTCTCAAAAAAAAAAAAAATTGACACGTTTCTTCTAAATTAATATCTATTAAAAGTTTCTCATTAGCAGCTCCTATTTATGATTGTACTACATGTTCCCTGAAATTTTATTGCCATGCAATAGATACCAGTAATTTAAAATGCCTGCCTTTCATGAATGCACAGTTACAGTCCGACATTGCAGTTATCCACACAAATGATTTGTTAATGTACATTAATGTTGCCAACTAGATTTTATGAGTAAAGATTTCTTTCATTATGATCTTGCAGTTCTATATTAGTGTTTTTTTTTTAGTTCTTCACATCAGTTTATTGTGTTTTTGGTTTTACTTATGAATTATAATTTTAGACAATTGCAATTCTGCTTGTATACTTTAAGTCAGCCTGGGGTTTAATTAAAAGATAAATGAGCCATGTGGTTTATCACAATTAGATTATATGTGTGTGTTTATGTTTACAAATATGACCCTAATTTTGATGACAGCTTATCTTGTATATATTCTTTCTTAGCTCATTTTCTCCTCCACTTCCTCCTCCTCCTCTTCCTCTGTCTTTTTCTTTTTGAGACGTCGTTTTGCTCTTGTTGACGAAGCTAGAGTGCAGTGTATGATCTTGACTCACTGTAACCTCTGCCTCTCTGGTTCAAGTGATTCTCCAGCCTCAGCCTCCCAAATAGCTGGGATTACAGGCACGTGCCACCATGCTTGGCTAATTTTGCAGGTTTTTTTTTTTTTTTGGAGATGGAGTCTTGCACAGTTACCCAGGCTTTAGTGCAGTGGCTCGATCTCAGCTTACTGCAATCTCCGCCTCCCGGGTTGAAGCAATTCTCTGCCTCAGCCTGCAGAGTAGCTGAGACTACAGGCATGTGCCACCACGTCCAGCTAATTTTTTTTTTTTGTATTTTTAGTAGAGACGGAGTTTCACCATGTTGGCCAGGATGGTCTTGATCTCCTGACCTTGTGATCCACCCACCTTGGCCTCCCAAAGTGCTGGGATTACAGGCGTGAGCCACCGTGCCTGGCCCTGTAGTTTTCTTTTAGTAGACATTTTGCCATGTTTGTGAGGCTTGTCTCGAACTCTGGACCTCAGGTGATCTGCCCATCTCGATTCCCCAGAGTGCGGGGATTATAGGTGTGAGCGACTGTGCCTGGCCTCTTAGCTTATTTTCAATGTAGGTTTTATCTTGTCTAAGTGAGTAGCCTTGGAAATTGTATTATTTTCACCATGTATTTAATGATGAATATGTGTTTTTTTGGTGTGAAAAAAGCACCCTTGTGTTTTGAAGGTAATTTTTAAAAAGATTTATAATTTTGTATTTCTTCCAGTTTTTCAAAAAATAATTGTTGTGAAAACACATATAATTTACCTTCTTACACCTATGTAAACGTACACGTCAGGGGCAGACATGGTGGTGGGTCACATCTGTAAAGTCAGGATTTTGAGAGGCCAGAATAGCAGGATTGCTTGAGCCCAGAAGTTTGAGACCAGCTTGGGCAAAATATGGAGACACCCTCTCTACAAACATTTTTTTCTAAGAAATAGCCAGGCATGGTATGGCACTGTCCAGTATTATTTTATTTTTAAACAAAATTGACTCATTTTAGCATTTCTTTTTTTTTATATGCATAGTCTCAATCTGATCTTAAACTCCTGGTCTCTAGTGTTCTGACAGCCTTGGCCTCCTAAAACTCTAGGATTATAGGCATGAGCCATGGTGCCTGGCCACTATGTAGCGTTTTTTTTTTAGAACTGTACTAGTGGGTGATGAACACCCTCACCTTTTATTTTGGAAATTTTAAATTTTTATCTTCTTTTTGAAGTGAAATAAATTTCAACCAAGTATTATTGGTTAGGAATATTTTAAATTACATCAACGTTTGGAAAGTTCTCACCTTTTTTTATCTTCAAGTAACTGCTGTATTATTTTTTTCTCATATTCTTCTTCTAAGATTTTCTTAATGAATTATATTGATCTAGTTGATGATATCTAATAAGTTTTACATTCTATGTTTTATTTTGTTTTGCAATTTTATATTTTTGTGTTTTATATTTTAGGGTATGCCACCACACATCTGTTAACTGTGTTTTGATTTTTTAGTATATTATAATTGTACATGCCAATATTTAGCTTTGTACAATTTAAGGCAATGTGGAGCAAAATCAAATATGAATTAGCCATATGTATTTTTCTAGTAGAATTATCTCTGTTTGCCTGTGAAAATGTTATACTTGTATTTGTTTTTGTAACTTGTAATTTGTTCTGTAGGTTTGTTGTGAATGGTTTTCTAATTTTGTGTAGATGAGTAGTCATAAAATTCTTTTTTTTTGAGTCGGAGTTTCACTCTTGTTACCCAGGCTGGAGTGCAATGGCGCGATCTCGGCTCACCGCAACCTCCGCCTCCTGGGTTCAGGCAATTCTCCTGCCTCAACCTCCTGAGTAGCTGAGATTACAGGCAAGCGCCACCATGCCCAGCTAATGTTTTTGTATTTTTAGTAGAGACGGGGTTTCACCATGTTGACCAGGATGGTCTCGATCTCTTGACCTCGTGATCCACCCGCCTCGGCCTCCCAAAGTGCTGGGATTACAGGCGTGAGCCACCATGCCCGGCCTGAGTAGTCATAAAATTCTTATAATTCCAACATCCTATTTATTTGTGAATCTATATGATTTTTGTGTGGTAGAAACACTTTTGGATTTGAATATAATTAAAACTATTATAACTCTTATGTCTTTTAGGTATTATTGCTTATTTTTACTTGTCAAAAAAATTACCACAAAATAGTTTTAAATATTCAGTTTAGTCATATTAATTATTTTCACTTTGTCATGCAACATATTGCTAAAATGGTTTTATCTTGCAAAGCTAAATCTTAATACATATTAAACAACTATGATTTTTTTTTTTCCTTTTTCAAGATGGAGCCTTGCTCTGTCACTTAGGCTGGAGTGCAGTGGCATGATCTCAGCTCTCTGCAACCCCTACCTTCCAGGTTCAAGTAATTCTTGTGCTTCGGCCTCCTGAGTAGCTGGGATTACAGGTACCCACCATCATGCCTGGCTACTTTTTGCATTTTTAGTAGAGATGGCATATCACCATGTTGGCCAGGCTGGTTTTAAACTCCTGACTTTAAGTGATCCACCTGCCTTGGCCTCCGACAGTGCTGGGATTGCAGGTATCAGCTACCATGCCTGGTCTGAATTTTTTCTGTTTTATGGCACTTTGCAATCACCACTCTGTTCTTTGTTTTTAAGAATGTAACTGCTTTATATATCTTAAACAATCTCTGTCTTTGTGACTGCCTTATTTTATTTGTATAATGCCATCAAGAGATATCTTTATAGTTGGTAGACTAGATCCTGGTTGATGAATACTGAGTGGTATTCCAGATTTTTTTTTTTTGAGACAGAGTCTCACTCTTGTTGCCTAGGCTGGGTCTCAGCTCACCACAACCTCTGCATCCTGGGTTCAAACGATTCTTCTGCCTCAGCCTCTCGAGTAGCTGGGATTACAGGCATGAGCCACCATGGCTGGCTGATATTCCAGATATCAGATGATATCTATTGAATAATTTGGTGAAAGAAATTTGCGTTAATTTTACCTATTTTCTACTATAAGGACATTAATTTTACCTGTTTTCTACTATAAGGACATGTGCACACGAATGTTCATTGCAGCACTGTTTACAATAGCAAAGACCTGGAAACAACCCAAATGCCCATCGATGATAGACTGGAGAGGGAAAATGTGGCCACATATACACCATGGAATATTATGCAGCCATAAAAATGATGAGTTCATGTCCTTTGTAGGGACATGGATGAACCTGGAAACCATCATTCTCAGCACAAACTGACACAGGAGCAGAAAATCAGGCACCGCATGTTTTCACTCATAGGCGGGTGTTGAACAATGAGAACACATGGACACAGGGAGGGGAGCACTACACACTGGAGTCTGTTGGGGGGAAATAGGGGAGGGACAGTGTGGGGAGGGGAGTTGGGGGAGAGAGAATGGGGAGAAGTGCTAGATGTGGGTGATGGGGAGGAAGGCAGCAGATCACACTGCCACGTGTGTGCCTATGCAGCAATCTTGCATGTTCGTCACATGTACCCCAAAACCTAAAATGCAATAAAATTAAAAAAAAAATTTTTACCTATTGGCAGCTTTGTGCTGGCATAGTCTGAAAACACTTGTCTTGGCTGGTGATCATGGGAGTTTCTCAAAGATGTTTTATGGATATGTGTTGTCTAAAATTTTGTGTTTATTTTTTAGTTAAGAGATTTTACTCATATTACTTTGTAGGGGTCAGTAATCACTTGCTGCACCTGCTCTCTTTCTGTGGTCTCCCTTTACTGCAGTCTCTCTGCTGCTGTAACATTTTTCCTTGGTCTCAGTAGACTCAAACTCTCATTCCAACATATGCCACCATTTCTTTCAGCACTTTACGTCATCAGAGGCAGAGACCAGTGTCAGGAAAAGCCCCTAAAACCCAGAAATGACAGTGAATTTGCTAGTATTTTACTTTTCTTTTAAAACAGAACCCAAGAGTTGGGAATTTACTTGTAAAGGCCTTATATTATAGTGGGAAGGAGGAAAAGCTGTGTTGGGTAAATTTAACAGATTTTCCTTTTCCTTCTATGTGGGTTTTTGCATTATGTTTATCTGGGACACTGTACACACTTAACTCATTTATAAATTTTCCACAGATGTGTTTTGGTCTGTAGGTTTTTGTTACATTTACATGTATATGAAAGAATTAGGGCCTATGGTATTTTGCAATGCCATCTTGTTTATGTAGTTTATATAATTTTGTAGGTAAGATTTTAGAACTATACTAATGTGAGTCTAGTAAGTGGAGTAATTATTTTTTTAAATTTTTTTTCAGGTATATGTCCTCATTTTGCCCAAGATCTTTGGCTACAGCAGGGCATGGAAGATTCTTTTCAAAAAGTAATACTGAGAAGATACGAAAAATCTGGACGTGATAATTTACAGTTAAGCAAAAGCTATAAAAGTATGGATGACTATAATATGCACAAAGGAAGTTATAATGGACTTAACCAGTGTTTCACAACTACCCAAAGAAAAGTATCTCACTGTGGTAAATATTTGAAAGTCTTTTATAGATTTTTAAATTCAAACAGACCTAAGGTAAGACATACTGGAAAGAAAGCGTTGAAATGTAAAATATGTGTCAAATCATTTTGCATGCTTTCACATAAAACTCAGCATAAAAGCATTTATAATACAGAAAAGTTTTACAAATGTAAAGAATGTAGAAAAGCCTTTAATTGGTTCTCAACCCTTACTTATCATAAGAAAATTCATACTAAAAAGAAACCCTACAAATGTGAAGATGGCAAAGCTGTGAAGCAACTTTCAACCCTTACTACACATAAAAAAAATCATACTGGAGGGAAACTATACAAATGTGAAGAATTTGGCAAAGGATTTATATGGACCTCAACCCTTACTGAACATAAGAGAAGTCATAGTAGACAGAAACCATACAAATGTGAAGATTGTGGCAAAGCATTTTTATGGTCCTCAACCCTAACTAGACATAAGAGGATGCACACTGGAGAGAAACCCTACAGATGTAAAGAATATGGCAAAGCTTTTAATCAATCCTTTAACCTTACTACACATAAGATAATTCATACTGGAGAGAAACCTTACAAGTGTGAAGAATGTAGCAAAGCATTTATATGGTCCTCAACCCTTACTGAACATAAGAGAAATCACACTAGAGAGAAACCCTACAAATATAAAGAATTTGGCAAAGCATGTAGCCAATCCTCAACCCTAACTAGACATAAGAGGATGCACAGTGGGGAGAAACCCTATAAATGTGAAGAATGTGGCAAAACTTTTAGCCAATCCTCAACCCTTACTACACATAAGATAATTCATACTGGAGACAAACCCTACAAATGTGAAGAATGTGGCAAAGCTTTTAATCAATCCTTTAACCTTACCACACATAAGATAATTCATACTGGAAAGAAACCTTACAAGTGTGAAGAATGTGGCAAAGCTTTTAATCGATCATCAAATCTTACTACACATAAGAGAATTCATACTAGAGATAAACCCTACAAACATGAAGAATGTGACAAAGCTTCTAGCCAATCCTCAACTGTTACTACACAGAAGATAATTCATACTAGAGAAAAACCCTACAAATGTGAAGAATGTGGCAAAGCTTTTCATCGATGCTCAAGTCTCACTACACATAAGATAATTCATACTGGAGAGAAACCTTACAAGTGTGAAGAATGTGGCAAAGCATTTATCTGGTCCTCATCCCTTACTAACCATAAGATAATTCATACTAGAGGGAAATCTTACAAATGTGAAGAATGTGGCAAAGCATTTTTATGGTTCTCAACTCTTGCTGCACATAAGAGAATTCATACTAGAGAGAAACCCTACAAATGTGAAGAATGTGGCAAAGCATTTAGGTGGTCCACAACTCTAATTAAACATAAGAGGATGCACACTGGAGAGAAACCCTACAGATGTGAAGAATGTGGCAAAGCTTTTAGCCAATCCTCACACCTTAGTACACATAAGATAATCCATTCTGGAGAGAAACCCTACGAATGTGAAGAATGTGGCAAAGCATTTAACCAATTCTCGACTCTAACTAAGCATAAGAGGATGCATACTGGAGAGAAGCTCTACAAATGTGAAGAATGTGGCAAAGCTTTTAATCGATCCTCAAATCTTACTAAACATAAGATAATTCATACTGGAGAGAGACCTTACACGTGTGAAGAATGTGGCAAAGCATTTATATGGTCCTCAACCCTTACTGAACATAAGAGAATTCACACTAGAGAGAAACCGTACAAATGTGAAGAATGTGGCAAAGCATTTAGTCAGTCCTCAACCCTAACTATACATAAGAGGATGCACACTGGAGAGAAACCCTACAAATGTGGAGAATGTGGCAAAGCTTTTAGCCAATCCTCACATCTTACTACACATAAGATAATTCATACTGGGGACAAACCCTACAAATGTAAAGAATGTGACAAAGCGTTTAGCCAATTCTCAACCCTAACTAAACATAAGAGGATGCACACTGGAGAGGAACTTGGCAAATGTGAAGAATGTGGCAAAACTTTTAAGCAACACTCGACCCTTAGTACACGCAAAATAATTCGTGATATAGAGAAACTCTACAAATGTAAAAAATGTGGCAAAGCTTTTAATTGATCCTCAAATCTTACTACATATAATTGATACTGAAGAGAAACTTTACAAGTGTGAAGAATGTGGCAAAGCATTTATATGGTCCTCAACCCTTACTGAATATAAGATAATTCATACTAGAGAGAAACACTACGGTTGTGAAGAATGTGGCAAAACATCTCTTTGGTCGTCAACCCTAAGAAAACATAAGAGAATGCACACTGGAGAGAAACCCTACAAATGTGAAGAATGTGGTAAAGCTTTCCTCAACCCTTACTACACATAAGGTAATTTATACTAGAGAGAAACCCTACCAATGTATAGGATGTGGCAAAGATTTTAAGCAACTCTCAACCCTCACTATACTTAAAATAATTCATGGTGTAGAGAAACTCTACAAATGTGAAGAATGTGGCAAAACATTTATCTGGTCCCCAACCCTTACTAAACATAAGGTAATTCATACTAAAGAGAAATCTTACAAATGTGAAGAAGGTGGCAAAGCATTTCTATGGTCCTCCAACCTAACTAGATATAAAGGGATGCACACCGGACAGAAACCCTACAAATGTGGCAAAGCATTTAAATGGTCCTCAACTCTTCCTAAACGTAAGACCATTTATATTAAAGAGAAACCCTACAAATGTAAAAAATGTGGCAAAGCCTTTAAATGTTTGTCACACTTGATTTTAGATAAGATAATTCATTCTGGAGAAAACTACCAATGTGAACAATGTGGCCAAGCTTCTAACTAATGCTCACAACTTATTGCACAGGAAAGCATTTATACTTGAGAACAAATATACAAATATAGACAAAGTTAAAAAGCCATTAATACCTGCTCACATCTTACTCAAAATCAGCATTCATACTAAATAAAAGCATTAAAAGTGTAATTACTATCAAAAGGTATATCAGAAAATATGTCTTTAAAGGGCAGAAGAGTATTTATTTTGCTTTAGTTTATATTGAAGAAAACCCTGCAAGTGTAAATAATTTGGAAAAACATTTTTTCAAAAACTACAAACTATAAAACACCAAAGAGTTCATACTAACATATATTTTTGCAGAGGCAGTAAATATAAAAGATATTCAATCCAAAATTAAGTCTTAATATCAGGGAATAATTCACAGTAGAAATGGCTAGGATACTCGAACTTTAGACATTACACTAAATCAGAGTGCTGAGTATAGAAAATAATACGAACTAAAGTTTGTGTAAATATTTGTATATAATTTTAAAAGAAGTACAATAGTTTTTAGAGAGTTATAAGTACATTCAAAATATACTTTCCTTGAAAATTACAAGATTTTTAAAAAGTGAATAATAATGGAGTTAAACTCTTAAATTACTTCATGCTGTTTCATCATTCCTGGTGTATTCACATGTGAAGGCATGTGACTAATTGTTGCTGCATAAAAGATATGAGAGTTTTTTTTTTTTTAATTAGACAGGCATTATTACCTTTTCTATGGAATGGTAAAGATTAAAATGTAAGATGAATGATGAAGATTTAAGTAGAGAGGCTCTTTGTGGGTAACTTGTAATATTGAGTGATTGCTGAGGTAGATGTTCATAGTAATATTTTTCTGCATTATTATTAAAGAATAACATTTTTAATTTTAAAAAATTAAGTTAGTATGGCGTGGCGCAGTGGCTCACGCCTGTAATCCCAGCACTTTGGGAGGCCGAGGCGGGTGGATCACAAGGTCAAGAGATCGAGACCATCCTGGTCAACATGGTGAAACCCCGTCTCTACTAAAAATACAAAAAATTAGCTGGGCATGGTGGCACGTGCCTGTAATCCCAGCTACTCAGGAGGCTGAGGCAGGAGAATTGCCTGAACCCAGGAGGCGGAGGTTGCGGTGAGCCGAAATCGTGCCATTGCACTCCAGCCTGGGTAACAAGAGCGAAACTCCGCCTCAAAAAAAAAAAATTATGTTAGTATGTTTATTGTACTTCTATGGAATAATATGCAGTATATTGTTTAAATTATAAATTATATGTGATCTTTTCAATTTAACATTTTTAACATGTTAAATACCATTGTGAATTCAATGAAGTTTTATGCTACTAACTTTAACCTATTTCACCTTACTCAGGCTGTAGGTAAAAGATGGTAACAATACACTATTTGGTAAGACAATGGACTGATATCTCTAGTAATCTTTTTTTTTGCCAGTGGCTTTATATTGTCCATAAGTTAAAGAAAATTGTTTCTATAAGTGTATTTTTTGTTCTTATTTTCACATTTAAATTTATTTTTCTTAACTTTTGTGGATACATAATATATATATATATTTATGCCATATATGGCATATTTTGATACAGGCATCCAATGTATAATAATCACATTAGAAGAAATGTATCCATTACATCTAGTATTTATTCTTTGTATTACAAGTAATTCAAGCCTACAATTTTAGTTATTTTAAAATATACAATTAAATCGTAACTGACTACAAGGTCAAATTTTCAAACATAAATCTGTACATGTCTGAGTCTTGAATAAATCTTCTTTAAAAATTTAATATATTTTTCTTTGAACACGTGGCCTTTGCCTGCAAGCAAATATGAACTGTTACTATTGATTTACATAGTGTTAAATATACACATCTATTAGTCTAAAGATAAACCTTAGGTGTAAATAAATTATGGAGTAAGTGTGTTTGGGTGAGTATAAGTTTATAACTATTTTTAGCAGAAAAAAGCAATATTGGGACAAAATAAATCATTTTAAGAAGGTGTCTAATTTACTAGAAAACAAAAAGTCTCAAAAATGCTTAAAGCAAATTTATGCTCTATGCTTTTGTATTGAATTTATTACCGTATTATTTTTTGGCTTGTGATTCAGAATCTCCACATGCAAATTCTCTGTTTTAACATGACTGGTACTCATGCTAGACCCATAATTTTCTTTTTTTGTTGTTTGTTTAATAAGTTTTTTTTTTTTTCATATGGAATCTTGCTCTTTTGCCCAGGCTGAAGTGCAGTGGTGCTATCTTGGCTCATTGCAACCTCTGCCTTTTGGGTCTAAGCAATTCTGCCTCAGCCTCTCAAGTAGCTGGAATTATAGTGCCCACCACCATGCCAAGCTAATTTTTGTATTTTTAGAAGAGGCAGCATTTCATCATGTTGGTCAGGCTGGTCTTGAACTCCTGACCTCAGGTGATCCACCCACCTTGACCTCCCGAAGTGCTGGGATTACAGGCATTAGCCACCACCCCTGACCTGTGTAATGGTTTATGAAGTATTCGCTATGTAAGCTGGTCGTATAAGAATGACTTTTTAAAAAATTTTATTCTTGGCTGGGTGCGGTGGCTTACGCCTGTAATCCAAGCACTTTGGAGGCCAAGGCAAGTGGATCACCTGAGGTCGGGAGTTCAAGACTAGCCTGACCAACATGGTGAAACCCGTCTTAAAAAAAAAGAAAAAGAAAATTTTATTCTTCCAGAAGTTATTGGTATTTGGTTAGATGAGTAATTTCTTCAGTGTTGATGTATGAGATCCTGATGGACTCATCACCTAAGCAGTGTACACTGTACTATATATGTTGTCTTTTGTCCCTTCTCCTTCCCACTCTTCCTCCAAGTCCCTAAATTCCATTGCAGCCTTCTTATACATTTTTGTCCTCATAGCTTACCTTCCGTATGTCAGTGAGAACATATGGTGTTTGGTTTTTCATTCCTGAGTTACTTTACTTAGAATAATAGCCTCCAATCTTGGCCGGGTGCAGTGGGTGATGCCTGTAATCCCAGCACTTTGTGGGGGTGAGGTGGGCAAATCACAAGATCAGGAGTTTGAGACCAGCCTGACCAACATGGTGAAACCCCATCTCTACTAAAAAATCCAGAAATTAGTTGGGCATGGTGGTGTGTGCCTATAATCCCAGCTACTCAGGAGGCTAAGGCATGAAAATAGATTGATTCCCAGGAGGTGGAAGTTGCAGTGAGATAAGATCATGCCACTGTATTCCAGCCTGGGCAACAGAGTGAGACTTCATCTCGATAATAATAGTAGTCTCCAGTCTCATCCAGGTCATTGCAAATGCTGGCAATGCATTCTTTGTTAATGGCTGAATATTATTTCGACATATATATATTTCCACTTTTTGATGGAGTTTTTTTTCTTACTGATTTGAGTTTGTCATAGATTCTGGATATTAGTCCTTTGTCAGATGTATAGATTGTGAAGATTTTCTCCCACTCTGTGAGTTGTCTGTTTACACTGCTGTTTCTTTTGCCATGCAAAAGTTCTTTAGTTTAATTAGGTCCCAGATATTTATCTTTGTTTTTACTGCATTTGCTTTGGGGTTTTGGTCATAACTTTTTTGCCTAGTCAATGCCTAGAAGGGTTTATTTGACGTTATCTTCCAGAATTTTTATAGTTTTAGGTCTTAGGTTTAAGTCCTTATTCCATCTTGAGTTGATTTTTTTTTTTAAATAAGGTGAGAGATGAGGATCCAGTTTTATTTCCCTACATGTGGCTAGCCAATTATTCCAGCACCATTTGTTGAAGAGGGTGTTCTTTCTCCTCTTTATGCTTTTGTTTGCTTTGTTGAGGATTGGTTGGCTGTAAGTATTTGGGTTTATTTCCAGGTTCTCTATTCTGTTCCATTGGTCTGTGTGTCTATTGTCATACCAGTACCATGCTGTTTTGGTGACTATGGCCTTATAGTATAGTTTGAAATCAGGTAGTGTAGTGCCTCCAGATTTGTTCTTTTTGCTTAGTCTTGCTTTGGCTATGTGGGCTCTTTTTGGTTCTATATAAATTTTAGAATTGGCTTTTCTAACTCTGTGAAGAATGATGGTGGTATTTTGATGGAGATTGTGTTGAATTTGTAGATTGCTTTTGTCAGTGTGGTCATTTTAACAATTTTGATTCTACCCATCCTTGAGCATGGGATGTGTTTCCATTTGTTTGTGTCATCTATGATTTATTTTGGTAGTGTTTTGTAGTTTTCTTTGTAGAGGTTTTTCGACTCCTTCATTAGGTATATTCCTAAGTATTCTATTTTTTTCAGTGATTGTAAAAGGGGTTGAGTTCTTGATTTAATTCTCCATTATGCTGCTGTTGCTGAATAGAAGAACTGCTGATTTGTGCACATTGATCTTGTCTCCTGAAACTTTGTTGAATTCTTTTATCAGTTCTAGGAGCTTTGTGGAGGAGTCCTTGAGGTTTTCAAGGTAAATGATTATATCATCAGCAAACAGGGACAGTTTGACTTCCTGTTTAGTGAAGTGTCTGATTGCTCTGGCTAGGACTTCCAGGACTATGTTGAAGAGAAGTGGTGAGAGTGGGCCTCCTTGTCTCGTTCCTGTTCTCAGAGGGAATGCTTTCAACCTTTTCCCATTCAGTATTATGTTGTCTGTGGGTTTGTCATACATAGCTTTTATTACATTAAGCTGTGTCCCTTGTATGCCAGTTTTGCTGAGAGTTTTAGTCATAAAGGGATGCTGGATTTTGTTGAGTGCTTTTTTTGCATCTATTGAGATGATCATGTGATTTTTTTTTTTTTCTCAATCCTATTTATGTGGTGTATCACATTAGTTGACTTGTGTGTGTTAAACCATCCCTGCATCCCTGGTATGAAGCCCACTTGATCGTGATGGATTATCTTTTTGACATGCTGCTGGATTCAATTAGCATTTTGTTAGTGATTTTAGCATCAATGTTTCTCAAGGATGTTGGTCTGTAGTTTTCTTTGTTGGTTGTGTCTTTTTCTGGTTTTGGTATTAGGGGGATGCTGGCTTCATACAATGAATTGGGAGGGTTCCTTCTTTCTCTATGTTGTAAAATAGTGTCAAAAGGATTGGTACCAATTATTTGAATATCTGGTAGAATTCTGCTGTGAATCTCTTTGGCTCTGGAATTTTTTTTTGTTGGTAA